ACTCAAACATAGAACCTGGGACATAGAACTTCAAGAGCATATGAGCCAGTCAGGCCAATACAGTGTTGTTACTAATAATGCCTTTACAATATCTTCATATTTGACTACCACAATGACAATAAAGACCAGAAGACCCTTCACATTAATGAGACTTAATGTTTTACCCTCCAAGCTCATGGAGGGAAGATTTCAACATATACCTATTTCGGATTACCTGTGACCATGTAACATTGGCCAAGTGGAAACTGTAAGTCATGTTTACTGTACTGTCTTTTCTATAGAGATCTAGGCACTAACCTCTTGTGCCCAATCATTCTCAGATATCCAGGGAGACCTGATGAATTTTACATCAAGCTACTTCTTTCCTATCAAGACTCCCTTATTACATGCTCTGCAGCAAAATTTTATGCAGCAGCAATGGCACAGCACTCTCTTATAGTCTCCTGAGTTCACAGGTTGACTGGTTTTAGCATGAGGATGGTTTATAGTCGACCGTAGAGAAATGTTGTAGTCCCAACCGAAGGTAGGAAATGTTTACAAATGTTTACAAATATGTAGGAAGGACTACTCCAAAGACTTTGTCCAAACCAGTTTGCCCTAGATCAGGGGTGGGCAATTAATTTCTATAGGGGGGGCACATGAAAAATCTGAACTGTGTTCGGGGGCTGAACCAACTTTACTTAAAAATAAAATGAAACAGTGATGTTATTATTGTTTTTATTTTAAACTTGTTAATCTTCACAAATACTAAAGAGGTTTTTTGTGGTATGTTAAAGATAAGCAACTGATCAACTTTAGACAAAAAGCTATAAATGATTTTGATGTTCAAAACTGTCCGCGAGCCAGACAGGAGCGGCCCGCGGCCAATATGTGGCCCTTGGGCTGCACTTTGCCCAGGTCTGCCCTAGATGATCCTATGGTTCAAAGGGTAGCTATAAAATGTTGTATTTGATTATTCCCATATATTACAACTAGTTCACAATTAATTATCTGTCATACACTTTTTAAATTGAATTTTATATACAGTATTTTAAGCATATAATATGTTTTATGAACTGATTATATACTTTTTAAAATTGCATTTTATATATTTTAGCCATATAATATGTTTTATGAACTGGTGACCCAACCGTAATAAATAAATTCATTTCACATGTAATTCAATTCAATTAAAACATCCTGCTTGCTTCTGATTTGTTGTGGAAAAATGAGATTGCCCTTAACTATTTAAGGAGGACTGAATCTCAATCAGTACAGCTGAGGATAAAGATTCTAAATTTGTTACTTCAAACAGAAATGTCTAAAGATATCATTATTATTTTATGTATTTTTAAATATGTTTTAAAGGGTTCTAACAGTTTCAACAAATATTATTTAAATTTTTTAGTGTTATAATTTATTATGGTTGTATTCTTGTTTATCTGTAGTTACTTATGAGCTGCCCATAATTGGGAGAAAAGTAGCATATAAATAAAAAGAGGAAGGAAGGAAGGAAGGAAGGAGTATTTGTATGTGTACCTAAGATCCTGACTAATCTACAAAGGCCATTGATTGTGTCACACTCTGGAGTTTTGCCTCGTGCCAGTTGGATACTAAATTAAATCTCAAGGTTTCAGCATGTAACCAATTTGATTTATTACACTGATATAATGAAATTAAGGCACAATTCATACAAAACTCATACAAGGCACAGTGTGGAATTCAACTCCTGATCTTAGTTCCATAGCTAAGTGCTCTACTTGACTGATCTATCCAGCTAGCTAGCATAGCCCGTCTAAATTCTATTTTATAAAATTGACTGTTTTAAAATATATTATAACTGACTATAGCTTCTTATTTTATTTTATTTTATTTTTGGTATTAGAAACTCTTCTTTTCCGTGACTTTGAAATCACTGCATTTAAACTATTTTAATATGCTGTTCTTTCTCTTTGCTTCTGCCATAAAAACATTTATTTGTTTGCTTGTTTTATTTATTGCCTTCTGCCATAAAAACATTTATTTGTTTGCTTGTTTTATTTACAGTATTGTTTTATTTACACTTTAGTGTAATAAAAGTAATGTTTTTACTTAACATTTTAAATATAATGTGCATTTAATTCTTTAAAAATATCTGAATAATTTATTGTTTTTGGCTTTTAATACTATGTTTTACATAACGTTAGCTGCCTTGGGTGCTTTTATAGAAGAAAAACAGGGTAAAATATTGTAAATAAACAAATAATAAATAACTTGCACTGTATGGGGTAGGGATATGAATTTCGTAGCCCCTTAGAGAGAAGCTGAGGGAAAACACTCTATTTCCCTTGTGGCAACATATTTCTGCCCAAGATTTTCTTCCAAAGAACTATAATGGAAAATCTCTTGGGATTTCCCAGGAGTTTTCCGGTCATTTTATTCCCTCTGGAAGATTTACTGTATAGAATGGCATGTTTCTTGCTCAGGATTCATATAGGAAGGACAGAAGCAGCACTAGCCTCCACAAGATTGTTACGATTCCTGCACAGAATAGCATATTTTCTATACACGATACACTGCATAAGGCACTTGAATTTGGCAGTCTTCTGCATAGAACAATGGATGAAAAACTGAAATAAATAAATAGGAAAGTCTAATTCTTGCAGGTAGTTAGGAAATCTTGCTGATGTAGGAATGGGAATACTCATCAGATACTGTACCTAGTTTATGGCATGTTATGCAGGTTTGCTTAGTGGCAAGAGTAAATATCTCTATCTAGCATAGTTGTATTGTTCATACCATTGTACAAGTGGCACTGCAAGCATTTGACATGTGCTCTGCAACTTTTGGGCAAGGGAAACTGCATCAGACATCAATCTTGAGCTAATTTGAAAGATGTGTGTCCATTAGTGCAATGAACCCAACACTGTTGGATGCAGGGCAACACCTGATGTCTTGCATATGATACAATATTATGCTTGTTTGGTTGTACTGAATTTCCTTTGCACAGAATATTTGATACTACGTTATCTTAAATACCACTCAATGTATAGTACACAAAAGTAACTTTCTACTGTCTGTTTTATCAAGAAAGGAAATGGAGAGAGTCTCCTATATACTAAGCTTTCTCTGCACCACAGACACAGAGGTCCAAAAATGTACATATGAGCCAATTTTCTCTCATTCAAAAATAAATTGGAAAATTTCAGAATTCTCTACAGAGGTATGCGCATTTGTGTTTTTAGATCACAAATCATGATGAAGAAAGGCCAATGTGCAGGCTTCCTCATGAATTTTGAGAGTTTTAAGCCCAAAAACACAAACATGCACACCTCTAAGGCTGTTATATCAACTTTTTTTTACTAGATATATCCTTCCCTTCCCTCCACAGAAATCTGGAATGTTTTAATCTAAAGGAATATTCAACAGGAAAATCTATTGCTTCAAAGAATAGGAGAGAAAACACTCATCTCAGTCTAGTGACACATACGAGAAGCTCAAGATAGGTCTATGGGATTTCAGGGTGGTCTGGAATTTAGATCAAAGTCAAAGATTCAGATGCTTTATTGATAGCAAGGGAGTGATCCACAGGATGTGTTGCCATAATAAGTTATAATAGTGGAACTAGACCAAGGTAAAACTGAACTGGTCCAGGTTCTTTGGCAGTTTATGCTGCTCACAAGACAGAGTCCCTGAGCAAATAAAAATGATGGAGAGGAATAAGAGGGGTCAAATCTAAGCAGGATGCACCCAGATGCCCAGGCTTACCTGTGATAGATTTTTTCCTCAATTAATGCTAAGGCTTCTGGTAGTCTGGAATAAGACATTTGCAAAAAGGCACTCTTTCTTTCATAAAGGACAGGGTAGCCATTTTTTGGAACTGTTCCCATGCAGTTATCAGTATTACTATTATTGAAAAAGTACCAGTCTGCAGTGATATTGAAGAAAATACTGTCTTTTTTCTTTTCCACACCACAATAATTCAGTTAGCTCTATTCTGGTTATCTGCACTACACTTTTTTTTTAAAAAAAATGTTGTTGTGGGTACCTGGCATTCCTTCAAGGCACTTTGAACAGAGGCCTGGTCTCCAATTCTCTGTTGTTCCTTCAGTCTTCTCTCCTGAGTTTCAAACCAACTTTTCAGACACTGAATGTTATTTTCATATTCTGTCCAGGATTCCAGAAAACCTTCCAACATCTGAATCTGAATATATATATATATTTGTTAAATGAAATAACTCATATAGCTAAGGTAACTTAATTGTTGCACTGGAAGAATACTTCAGCACTGATTCATGCTTTCCTACAATGTAGCATTTCCACAAGTTCAAAACTGACATCAAATGACACTGATTATGTCTATGAATAACCCACTCCAGGACAAACAAGTAACCACATTCACACAGTTTATTATGATAAGAACAAAACTAGCCTCCCTGCAGTGTGTGTGGTTCTCTCTTGTCCTCTCCTCCATGGATTTTGCTACCATCTTAGTCTAGATCTAGCTCAGTACAGTACATTGTCCCAGCACAATGTACTGTACTGTGCTGATGCTTACGTACAAAGCCCTAAACGGTTTAGGGCCTCGATACTTGGCGGAACGCCTAC